GTTTTGCAGCGGAAAGCTATCAAAGGCCAGCCTTCCAGGGCACAAGCCGTGCCTCGGTGTTAAAAGTTGCTTGAACGCATTAAAGCAGCTAAAATGTGCATTAAAATATGGCGTTTGGAGAATAGGATATCTGTGCAATTAGCCATCTGATGCTTTCAGCAGCTGCTTGTAAGTTAGATCCGGTGCGTCAACGAAAGGCACCTCGGAGAGTTGGAAGAAGAGAGCAAGAGAGCCGGCTGCAGAGCCAGCCCTCGGTTGGGGAAAGAAAAAGCGGGCTTCAGACTTAGGAAGTGGCCCTGTGGGGTCTGCTGGTTTGCCACAGGTGAACGATCGGCCACAAATATTTCCTGTGCCCCCCCCCCCCCTCTGCTCTTCCCACCCCATCCCTGGGCATGCAAAGGATCCAAGGGAGGGCAGCTGCAGTTGAACGAAAAAGTTCCCTTTCTCTGTCTGTGTCTTTTACTGACCGTAAGCCAGCAATGTGACTGTGAACCCTTATGGGGTGGGGGGTGGGGGTCGGGCTGCTGCCAGGGAGCTGTTCTCGAAAAGCCCTGAGCGCCTGCCAGCACCCCAGCAAAGGCAACAGGTGGCACAGTGGTTAGAGTGCAGCACTGCAGGGTACTTCAGCTGACTGCAGTTCTGCAGTTTGGCGGTTCAAATCTCACCGGCTCAGGGTTGACTCAGCCTTCCATCCTTCCGAGGTGGGTGAAATGAGGACCCAGACTGTGGGGGCGATATGCTGACTCTGTAAACTGCTTAGAGAGGGCTGGAAGCCCTATGAAGCGGTATAGAAGTCTAACTGCTATTGCTATTGCTAACAAGGTATTTGAAGCCCTCCCAACTTTTTCATGGATGGAACGGAAACCCTCTCTCGCCTACCTGGCTGCACTGTCTCAGGGCTGCTGGCACTTTTGGCCCCGATTTTCAGATGGGGAAGAGCCAGGTTTCCTTGCTCTCCCCCCTCCCTTGATGGACAGTAGTTGGAATGCAGCTCTTGGGGGAAGGGGGGGTAACCAGAGTCTGAACCTCGCTGTCATGCCGAGAACTGTGCCAGAGAAGTCCAGATCTGCCCGGAGTCTGTGGCCAAACAGGTGGTGCTTTTTCCTTTGTTCGGTCTCCTGATTCCTCCAGGCCTCGTCCCAGAATGCAGGTGTCTGGAAAGCTGCCTCTCTTGGCAGGCCAGAGGCTTCTTCGGGGTTGCTCTGTGTCCAGTGCCATGACTGGGGGATGGGACTGGAAGACCCTGGGGCCGATTGGGCAGGTGACTGTTCTGTTTCCACAGGTGACTCCAGGCTTCGATGCCAAAGAAGGGGAGCTCTTTGTGAAAGGACCCGCTGTGTTTCGGGAATATTGGAACAGGCCTGCAGAGACCAAGGACGCCTTTACCCCCGACGGCTGGTTCAAGACAGGTACTGGCTGGGGATAAGAATCTCAGGTTCTGGGTCTAGTTAAACACAATGTTGGTGAGCATCGCCAGCCGGAAGATGTGTGGACTTCCTCTCCCAGAATTCCCCAGGCGGCTTCCGGGCGTTGAAGTCCGCCCATCTTTCAGGGGCCAAGGTTGAGATACGCTGAGTTAAAAGGTGATGGAATCCCCCTTCTCTGTCTGTCTGATCCACCCCCGGAGACCTTATTCCTTTAGACCGGCTGTCGGACTGACCCCATGTGTTTATAGGGCTGCTGAGGGCAGTGGGGCTAAAAAAGCAGCAGCCCCACAAGTTGCTTTGCGGCTGAAGGTTGCGGAAATCGGCTGGATTTGCAGTTGGCCGCAACTCAGGCACAGCACGGAGCTCTTGCCTGCAATTCTGAGAAGTGGTTGGAAGGCTGGTGTTCCTAGTATGCAAATAACACTTGACCCCTTTTAACCAATTTAGTGTTTCAGTGATCCTGTCACAACAGTCTGATTCCTACTCATTGTTCACTTGAGGCCCTACTGAGTGCCTCGTTTATTCTGATGGTCCCAGCCATCGGGTGGTAATGCACTCCAAAGGCTGAGTCCATAGACGGAGGCCTCTTGGGTCCAGCTATTCACGCCCCAGTCCTGACGCCTTTCCCGTCACACGGAGGACTCCTGGGTCGCCCAAGGAGCCTGAATCAAGCGCAGTTCGGGGCAGAGAAAGAGAAGGTGCTTCACACTCCCCCTGTCAGGGTTACGAATGGCATCCAAAAGTAAATCAGAGTCCGAGGCAAGGTATTGCTCAAAGCTCCAATTTATTAAGAGAGCCATGTTGGCACATCTGGGAAAACCTGAATGTGGAAGCTTCCCAGTTTTCCCCACCCAGTTGGAGGTTCAAGATCCTGTCCCCACCCCCACAAGCCCATGCCATGGTCCAATCTCCCACTGCCATGCTGGCAGCTTCCACCCATCCAGTTCCGGTCAGGTGCAGAGACAAAGGATGACCTTGGCTTTCTAGAAAGGAATTTTGTTGTGGCTACATAGCATCTATGTACCCGGAGGAGAGCCTTCTCTGTGGCTGCTCCGGCCCTCTGGAACGAGCTC